TATTAGCTATAGTGCTTACTTATATAGGAACGTAGAATTATAGTTTTAGTATAGTACGCGTTAGTAAATAGGAGCTATAAAATAAAGAGAATAAGGTATCTGTCTTCTTTTTCTTCTTATTCTTACTTTTTTATTATAATCTATTAGAAGGCGTAATAAAATAAGACTTATATATAATATATTACTAAGAGGGTGCTAAGGCCCTCTTATAATAATAATAAGTAACGTTACTACTTATTATAGTCTTAAGAATAATAGCTTTATAATAAGAAGAGCTATTTATCTATTTATTTAGTCTAATATAGCTGTTTATATATAAAGACTATATATATATAGGCGCACTAAAGAAAAAAATAAACATAATATCTAGGTAAGGCTATAAAAGGGAGAATAGAATATACTTCTTCAAATAATAAATAATTAGCTACTAATTATAGAAACATTTATATTTAGCGTAAAAGATTTAATTTATAGACTTATATATATAAATCCTCCTTCTTAAGCTTATAGCTAGGAGGCATATAATATATAGATTTAATATATTAGCTATAGAGGGTCAGCTAGACAGTTACTAGTATGTTTCAAAACCTAGATAAAGAAGCAGGAAAGGTTATTACAAAAGTAAAAATAAGTAAATTACATAAGTTAGCTATATATCTAATAAACAGGCTCTAGCTATACTAATATTAAGTGTTTTTACTGTAACACTAAAGGCTTTATTGCTTAACCACTGACGCTGTATGATTAGACCGGAACCCGCTGCTTAAGTACCTAAACTCTTGCTATTAGACTCTTAACTAGCAAGAGGGTCACTAATTCGCGCGCGTCTCCATCACTAGTCAAGACAGGTTAGCTTAACTATTTCCTGTCTAATATTAGTTATAGTTATAATATAGCTTCTATAAGAATCTACATAGCTAGGGTGAATAGTGTTAAATTGTATATCTTATTCTCTAAGGTTGCTATTTGCTGTTTGGTGGGGCTAGGAAGAGAGGTTTAAAAGCGTATCTATAATAGGTACTGTTAATTGACCTGCCTGAGCTATAATTCCTTATTGAATTGTAAACTAGATCTACCTCTTCTGTTCTAGAGTATTAGTTAATAAATCTATAAATAAGCCTACACCCTGACTGTAACGATTATGTCCCTTTACTGGCTTTATTCCTAAGTTATTCTCTTACTGGACTTTTGACCTTTTACTGGCTCTAAGCTATCTTGTAGCAACTTCTATTTCTAGTCTTACGCATAAATCTTAGATATAAGTATAGTATCTATAGGTACTATAGTAGAAGAAGTGTCTATTAAGTAGCCTTAGTGTAAACTAATCTAGTAGCCCCGCCCTTATAGTAAGCCTCTAGGTGTAAACCAGAGCATGCTCAGTTATGAGACCAAATGCTATGCGTCTACACCAACATATTTATCTCTTCTCTAGAAAGCATGCTGCTTGGCTAGCTACAGAATATTTAAGAAACTGTAAGGCTCGTGCTTGACGACTTTAAGGTTCTAGGCCTAGTCCTTTAAATCTACCACGATTAGCTAAAGGGCGAGTCAATAACGTTCGAATCTTACCCCTATGTGTACGTTACAGAATAAGAAATAACTTTAACACCTAAGATTAAGTTAACACCATGCTGCGACTAACATAAGTTTAAGAAGACACTAGACCTAAAATAACAAGATAATGCAGCCGAAAGTAACTAAGGCCTGCCTAGCATAAAGAACAACAAGAATAGACAAAACGTAGCTTCCTTAAACCCTAATCTCCTAGAGCGCTACCCTAGACCTCTGCATACATAGTTTAACTAGCAGCCGCCACTATGTAATAAGGACATGGCTGCCGTGATGTAGCTGTAAGGCCAGCACACTTAGGTATAGTAGGACGGCAACAATTCGTTGTAGGCGTGAATGGAGGTAGTACGGCGCTAGCTAACGCGTATAGCGTGGTTCTGGTCTCGCGAGAAAACGGGGTTTCTCTTTCTGCGAGGTATTTGGAGGCGTGGTTGCGGAGGCCGCTCCACCGTAGTGGGCGGCCTAGATAGTGCAGAAGAAGGAAGCGACAACAAAGAGTGTTAGCTACTAGAACATGGGACGGAATGCGTACTCCATGACACTACTATCCTTCGGTTTACAGTCAGCGCCTGCGTTGATCTTGTGACGTGATATGTTGAGGAGTAAGAGGATGCTAAGAGTAGGAAGATAGTATAGTAGCGTGAAACTATGTTATTTAGGCTAATGATAAAGAGGTTAAGGAGACGAGATGCACTTGATTTCTTGCAGCTTTCAAAATAGTTGTCGCGCACCACGCAGACCAGCAGGAGGTAAGCTAATGAAGAAGCATGTTTATGGCAGAATCTGACGTGTGAATTAGCGAGTGGCGCTAATAGACTTGGCTTACCTTAACCTCAAGGCCAGATAGGACAACACCAATAGGAAGCATGGTTACACCATACTAAAGACGAACGAGATGGCCTAGCTTTTGATGAAGTTGCTAGTATAATCTTTGTAAAGACTTTTGCACCTATAACCACTTTCCCTAGTATATATATAACATAATAGTTGTATAAGTCGATATAACACTACTTGGTATATTACTGAACTCTAATTGCCTATCTGCTGACTCCTTTATCCTATATGACGACTGCCTCTTGCAATTCACATGAAAGGACAAGAATCTGAGTTAACAGGCTTCATTAAATGCATAACTAGGCAAGCATAGCGACGAAGGAGTGTCTGGGTATAGTGAAGAACCTACACAAAAGGACGAGGTATATAGTCGCAGTCGTACACCTGAGGGCCATGGTCTTGTCGATATTGTGATTAATAACACTTTTGATATTTGAATTGTAGCTCCTGCGTTGGGGTATGAGATGCTTTAGGATTGACAAGGGTGGTGCATCTTTGTAGTGTGCTAATATAACTGGCATAAAACTGATAAATTGATACACACGACCATACCCACTGGAAAACTCGGGATCCCGTCCGCTCTCCCATAGATAAGCCGGTGAGGGCCGGATTAGTAGTTGGGTCGGTGACGACCAGCGAATACCTGGTGTTGTATGTTTTTGCTTTTTATTTCCGCTCAGTACATCTAGGTGGGTGACGATGGTGCTGTAATAAAACACACCTACAACTCCTAGGCAGCCTAAGGTGGAGATGTCCCTACCATAGTAGCTGGAACCATCTACCTACACACCCCACCAAGACAATCAATATCTAATCAGGCTATCAGTATATATAGTATCAAGCATAGAAGTGCCGCCTGTACTCCACCTAGATGGTTGTTCCTTTTCCTCTCGGGAAGGAAAGACAAATGCAGATATTACTGGGCCACATGCTTCTACTATGTAGAGCGAATAGTGCGTGTATTAAGCTGTCCCAATGTGGATCTCGGTGATGGAAGAAAACAGAAGAAGAAAAGATAAGCAGCCTTTTACGCATCACATATAATGCATCAACAAGTCATCAGTACCTCCCCTAGTTTGAACCTATTGTGAGGCATGGGCCATTTTGAACCCTTGAGTCTTAATGTCTTGCCAGTCAATGCCGTGCCGTTTGACGTTGCACCTTCACCTGCACCGCCTTTTTCTTGTTTCCACTTCATGTATTTCCACTGCGGTCGTACGGAGGCAATGTTACACGACATTGCTGAGATGAGCCGTCCCGCGGGTCTTTCGGAGTTTGTGATGATCGTCTGACCAGACACCGCCCTATGTTGACTGCGAGTGACAACACCCCACTCTAGAACGTCGTATTCTCTACACGAATACCACGTCGCGCCACTTTGTACTATCCATTACTAATGACAACTGACTCGACCAGCAATACCATTGACAAGTATCAGTCAACTTTTGTGATTAGTTCAATAGACAACATACTAGCTCATTACTGTACAAAAAGATGCTCTAAAAAATCAAGCCTTTAGGCAAAAGTAGAAAATATGATAATACTCAGAAGTAAGAGGATCTACTAATAGGATAGCTGGGAGGTATTACTAAGTGGCCTTTATTTCTAGGTGGCCTAGAAGTGGGTATGTTGACTTGAAGAACCACTATGACCTTGAGGCGTGCGCGGAGCCAACATGTGCAAAGGTCCGGGTTCTACTTGGTATCACAAAGCGGGCGAGGCGGACCTTACCCCACCATTGATTTCAACTTGGTCTTGATGGTCTGGGGAGATTTCTCTTGAGGGACTTTGGCCCTCTCGGCTTCCGACTTGGCCTCAAATTCCGCCGCTAAACCGGCCTCAATCTTACTTCGGGAGATGAAGACGGAGACTGAACCTGGAAGTAATATGAGTTCCTAGAACTTTTACTTTGAGCTGATATAGAGCGTGCGTGAGGGCAGGTATATATAAGCAATCACGGCCAAAAAAAAGAGCAAAGGCCGTCACTATAGCTGATGACATCTCACACGCCTACAATCATCTATCTATCTGTAGGCATCGATGTACTCCTCCACTTTTGGGCGCTTTCCCCGGATGATAGCTCGCACTGTATGTATCTGTAGCAACCTTGGATGGAACGGAGTCGGCCCAGCATTGGTGAAATAGTGCCAACCTTTCGCTGAGGTATCATCGTGTGGCACGGTATCACCGGCACTAGGAGGCGAGCTATAGTCACCTTATTAGGACGTTCCACGACGATACCCTGTTGAAGTCTTACCGGAGAACTGGAGTTGACATACTGTGCGAGAAATTGACCCGCGGCAAGCCGGAGAACTTGAATCTATTGTATCAAGTCCTCTTCCGCACTGCGTCCCGCGAGCAACTGGACACTCGTGTTGTACAAGTCCAACCAACACGAGGCATATTGTCAATGATGAAGAGAAGAAGACAATACTTGAAACATGCGGGAAGGAGGCACCATAATATTGGGTATCTAGAGAGACAGGCTGACATATATCAAGTCCGTTACTTAGGTGAACTTCTACATCATTAACTCATCGACGCCAGCTCTTTACGTATTAATAAAGGTAACTAACTATTGAGCCAGAGTCGAACAGCTAGAAGCTAAATCTCATCATACGATGAAAGTGGTAGACCCAAGGCAAGCTAGCGGCTATCGCGTACTGAAGTCGAACCTTCCACGACCACTGTTTCATAAGTGGCCGGCCGCTGAGCAGTAGCTCCTCCCGCAAGGTCAAGTCCTCGGCCCAGGCCTCAATCAATAGAGGGTTGTCGCACCACCAATTCAACTTGCTGCCTGACTTAGCAACAGGATTCAGCCAGCCCTGGGCTGCCATGACGAAGGAATTGGTTGCGTCAAATATCAAGTGGCCATGATGGCCCTGTCCGAAGTGGTCCACTAGCCCGCGTACCAAGCCTCGCATTTCCTCTTCGGCCAAGTACATGCTGAGACCTTCAATCACAATCACAGTCGGCCTGTCAGCCGGTATATCCAGGTACCAACCGCGTTCTGTGGCCGACGAGGCGCGGAGCTCGTAGGTGCTTCCTTCGCACGGCTTGCTATCGGTGTCGGTGAGGGGATCCGGAACGAGTTCGCGGCGCATTTTAACGACATCTGGTAGGTCGATGTCGATCCACCGCAGGGCCATTCTAGAAAAGTACCGCCGTAGGCGCAGCGCGCGAGTGTCCAAGCCGCACGCAAGGTGCACCACCGTCGCGCCGTTGGGCGAGTGGGCGTGTAAATCCAGAAATTCCGATGTCCAGCGGTCGAAGTCGCGGCTACGCACGACCGCCCAAGCCTGCAGCCAGCCACTGACTCCCAGCCGGCTGAAATCGTAATCGACCTTTGTCAGGATCTCTGCAGCCCAAGTATCCCGAAGGATTGGAGACGGGCTGATGGCATCAGCGGCCTTGGACATGACTGTGCCGAGCAGGGTTTCTGGCACGCCGGTGAGGGTGGGCGTCGTTTTCTTAGCGGTTGTCATTGTGGAGGTTTTGTCGAATACCGTGCCGGGAGTGGGTGAACTGGAGGGGACAGAGTAGTAAAGAGCAAATGCTTCGTGAGCAACGGGTCGTCTGAAACCCGCGTTAGTGATATGTATCTCAAGATAGTGGGTTGTGCCCGATACTTAGCCCATCAAACTGACATACACTATTGGAGCAAGCTTTGAGTGACAGAGTTTATCTGCTCAGGGCCGCACTTGTTTCGAACACTCGGGAACTGGTTACACGTTCCCACGACAAGGACTACAATACCAAACGGAATTGCTGAGCCTCGTGTTATTAGGACGTCTCTTCACGTCAGAATATGCCGAAATGCATCATGCATTATGATGAGTCTAGTAAAACTAAATGAATTTCGAAGTATATAATTAGTATGCTGCGACTGTAAATTAGACACAGATATATGACGAACTGGCTAGGGCTCCTTGCAAAGTCAAAATCGTACCACTAAGCAGCACGTTCGGTGCGAGTTCGCAAGCGAACCTGATCTGAGGAATCCACATGGCTCGCCGTGTTGCGACCAGGGTTTTTTCATAGGCAAGTGACTAGGAATACGATGACCGAATAGGAATTGCGGTGTCCGAGGGTGCCGAAAGGCCTGAATTATATACTCCATCGTTCATTGCGCAGGGGTATGTAACAGTACGGAGTGCCGCGCGGTTGAATCTTGGCTTGACTTCCAGGTCGCTTGGCTTACCCACGCTGAAGCAACGTTGGTCCACCTCAATATGACTCTACTACATGTCGACGACGTCTTGTTTGTCTTGAACTAAAACTTTTAGGTTTCAGCTTCTCCAAGTATATGTGCGGTCTCTTATATTGATTTCCCCACCTAGGACCCTCGGGTAGTTGATCGACAGCTTACAAGAACCGCTAGGCTGATACTGAACCCGGCTCACCAATCAAACAGAGTTCAATGTGTTCTTGGCGCTGCACTGCCTCCGTCTTTGTTTGTATGATTGCCCCTATGTCAAAGCTGGTCTGGTCGGAGCGAAGAAGTCAACGGTAGGGCAACTTATCTAAAGCAGCATTCAAATCTAACCTGCCCCTATCTGTCCGGAAATGCCCACAATTCCTCACCCGGTGCCCTCCGCCGGGCAACTAACACCCTTATCCTAATAACTCTGGAATGCATACTGTAAAGACACGAGCTTTGCCACTGAGTTTGACATCGTTGAGCTATGAACTACCCCGGTCGAATCCTAGATGTCTGCTTGTCAACTTGGCTTAGCGGGGCCTCAGCCACATCCACTGAGAACCTTAAACTAAATCATCCACTTATAGTCTCACGCACAAAGTAAGGTATGCCGTTCCTATTAATAACCTCATACTTTTCGGCATCTGTCACGTGCTGGACCCACGTTGTGCGATTGTCTCCTTGGGCGGTCACCAGCACGCAAGAGTGCCATGGTGTGAGACCAAAACAGTCAGGTTGAGGTATCAGAGGTATAGAAAACTTTGAAGTTCCGGTCGATGGGTGAATCGAGATTCTGATGCTATCTGGAAATCGGAACTCCAGTGCTCTTTCATAGGCCTGTTGTGTACATGTGTCAGTAAGGGGTCGTCGGGCAATGGAAGTGCGGTTTCTCACAATTAGTCGCCGTGTCATTTGCTCTCCAACTCGCCGTGCCTCGGCCTGGTACATGTCTTCATTCGATTTGACAGCTTCAGGAATATTAGGTCCCCATCGGAGGTCGTCGTAGGCGCCCTTGACAAAACCCCGATATGTCAATGCGGTGTCGGGATGATCTTTGATTTCCCTCTCGATATTGAAATTCGGATCCAGGAATCCCTTTTCAAGCTCTCTCCGGCAGGTTGGAGCGATACTCAAAAAGACCTCTTTGGAGATGGCGTTGCCGTCGTTGAGACCAAGAACGTCGATCAACCGCATGAAAGAGATAGATGTCAGACCATTTTCACACGCCATATCTCGCAGTTCTTGTCCATAGCTGAATACATCTTCGTCTGGATAGCCAAGAAGATCTGAATGTGTTAGCCCAGAATCAGAACATGCCCTAGCAGAGCGATCTCTAGACGTCCCCGTGATGAATCGCAGTCCTTACCATTGTATACAGAACCGTCAGAAATTATGGTTATATGTGCTCCGTAGGGAAAGACTGCAGCCAGCTCTTTGCAAAGTTGGTTCAGTCTAATCAAACCAAGTTCCTCTCCCAAATCAGGACTCTTAGATAAAGTCTTCTGCGGGTTTGGCGATTTCCATGGGAAAGCGGGTAGAAGGAGTGAGACTGGTTTCTTTGCGGCCCTAAAGTTCTCGATTTTCTCAGCTGCTACAGCTTCATAAGGAACAGCCCCATCGACACCTTTCGGATCTTGGTGATTAGAAAAGCGCCTGAGGATCTCAAGAATGGAATCAACGTCGGTTTGAGTAGGAAGTGGCATTGTGGCTGGGAACTAAGAGACTTTGAGAAAGTAGAAAACACTCCAGAAAATGGAGGAGGGACTTATTCTCCCGATATCTGCCTCTCCACTCTACCTGAAGAGTATGAGGTATCAGCCTATTGATGATTGGTTTATAGAGTACAAATAAATGAGATATTGTGGAGGTGCGGCGTTTTTGTATGCGTTTTTGTAGTATTGCTACTCTCAACGAAGTTTCCGGAAAAGTCGCCTCGTTATTAAAAAGGTCCGTCACGCAGTTCCTCGACGTGTGATAGCTACACTGCCGCGCGGCCCTGTAGAAAGGACTCCAGAAAGAAACAAGGTGCGACTGACCCCTGAGCCATTTATGTAATGATATGTTATACCCATGTCTTACAATAAACTGTAGTATAATCGGGTCTTAACCAGGGATTAGGCAACACTGTGGCTTCATTACATGGGCCAGAACAATAAAATGTAACCCAAGAACTGCGAAGCAGCTTCCAAGTTAAGGTTTTCGACAGAAACCTGGTTTGACAGCAATACAGCATGACTGAGTGGGCCTCGCATTTGGAGGAAGTCGCGCGCGGCGGTTGTGACAGGTGATCAGACGGCATTCCGGGGTCTGTCAGTCCGGGGTAGAGATTCGGACTTTCTTTAGCTTTCTGAAATACCATTAGTCAATTCGAGACCTCGCATATAGATAGCTAGTGGTACTTGTATAGTAGAAAAGGATCTATGCTATTAGATGAGATATAAAAGGTCTCGGGATGTAAACCATTTATCTGCAATGAGACCTTTGCCTAAACCGCACCGTTGGAGACAAGTACATCAAGCCAAATCATATTCTCACTCAGAGCCCACCAACATATCATTTAGTTTACCTTTTGGTGAACATTTGAACTTTAATCTTGCCATTAAGCAAATAAACCAGTCCTTCGTGCTCACCAGACCAACATGTCAACGGCAGTCACCGTCACTACCAACTTTCCCGCTAGGGAGACGTCCTTCTTAGCGATGCCATCAATCGTCCACCTCGAAAAGGCGTTCAAAAATGCCGCTACTGAAGATGCAGCTATCGACGCAACTGTTGATGCTATCTTGAGGCTTCTGGTATCGTTCAGTGACCTACCTTCTGATGGCTCTGATTTTCACACCAAAGAGTCATTTGGACCTCATGCTCGTCAATACGTTGCCGCCAAGCGCCAGATAGAGATGGTCCTTCCGGCCTTCCCCGGAAAAAGCAAGAACACGGCCGAGAAGGTCCTTGGACACCTTCCGGACCTCGGCGAAGAGATAGCGTTAGCTCGTCTGCATGACCTCTGCCGCCAAATCAAGCAATTGTATGAGCCAGGTGCCAAGATGATCATCGCTACAGACGGAGCTTGTTACAACGGTAAAGAGGACTCATCTTTGTTAGCGCGACAGTTACTAACTTGCCAATAAAGACATATTAGAATACACCGAAGACGAGCTTTGGGAATACGATTCCGTCTTGCGCCAAATGGTAGCGAAAGCTGGCTACGACTGTTTTGAGTTCATTCACTTTCTGGATCTCGTAGGGGTCTGCGCGAAGCCCACAATCACCAAGGAAGAGTTTATGGACCTGCTCGAGCCAGCCAGGCAGGTAATGATGGAAAAATATCTGCCACAGCACTTTGACGTGGACAAAGCCATCAGCAGCGACCCTAATATGAAGTGTACATACCTGGCCTACTGCAAATTTCTCACCAGAGACTTTACTAAGCCCCTGAAAGAACGAGGATATTCTGGAAAGGGTATAAAAAGGAAAGTCCATGATACAGCAAAGGCTCTGATAACCCGTGGTGCTGTAAGTATGCTCCCATATTGCGAGGGAAAAAGATACTAATATGTGAGGTAGGCCTTTGCAGAGGCAATTCGACAACGATACCCGGATTGTGTGCGATTGTCTATCCATGCTTCGAATGGGAAAACAAAAATCCCTATTCGCTTGATTCCGTCACCAGATTCCGAATCCATGACTCCATGGCACTGCTCAGTGGCTGTTGATATCTGCGGCACTTTTCGAACTGGCCATGTCACTGCCTGGAAAGACACACATGAACTTGTTTACAAAGACGGTCGGCCGTATCACTTCCGAGAGAGGTCCCCATTATATGAATGGGACGCCAAGGTGGAGTTTGAGCATCTCTACGAGGGAGGGTTGATTGTGCACAACACCAAGGGGTCGGAGCAGACAAAACAGTCTCTATCAGCTTCAGATAAAAACAAAGCAGTTTCTCTTGCTTTACTACAGGGCAAGATTATTTTTCAAGGTTTCTAGTTTGTAGCTACATAGCTTACGATTTCAGCCAAGTAGGTTACAAGGTCTATACTAGTTATAGGCGCTTTGCCTACACTTCAAATTAATATTCCTTCTATCCACCGTCTTCTAATAAAGTACGTAGATTTATAGCAATAACCCTTATTTAATTACTAGTCTACTGTTTATATTACTATCCTAAGATCACATTATCACATTACTATGTTATTTTAAGTAAATATTTAGCCTTAGAATATAATATATATACTATTAGATTTCTATTTTTTAGTAAAAAAGTCTATACTAAAAATATTATATATATTTCTTTAAACTATATAGTTTATTTTTATCTTATTTACTTATTAATATTATTTATATTAAGCTAGTTTATTACCTAAAATTAACTACTAAAAGGTTATCTGTTATTACCTGTATATAGCTAATACTAAATCTAACAGCTAGGGCGGTTCTTATACCTGCCGTGATAGAACACCTCTAAGCCTAAACCCTCAGGGAACCTGTATTAGCTATGGTCCTCTTGCCTACAGGGTCTGCAACAACCAGCAAGGAAAGTAGGCCTTCCGTTTATATGGCTGCTGTAACAGAACAGTTGTTAAACCGTAGGGATTGTAATAGTTTAGTAATTAATTATGTGATATGTTGTGTGTAACTATAGTGAAATGCTTTAGGGATAGGAGAATCCCCCTATTCCTTAGTTAGGAGATCCTAGACTAATCCTAGCTATATAATTAGTAAAATTACCCTTAAAGTAGGGCTATTTTACTGCCTATTCTCTAATAATCTGCTGCAGGGCAACTATATATTTGTTAGTTAATTTATATGTACTTCTGCTATATTTAACAGTTGTCTTAGAGGGCCTAGGCCCCTATTGCTGGGTTTACTTCTACTACTTGTTTCACTATTACGTGTTTGTTGTTATCTCTACAAGCAATTCTAATTCATTAAGGGTTCCTAGGATCTTTACCACCAAGACGCAGTGTGACAGCACAGATTTAGCGCTCCACCATTATTCAGATTAAGCCTACCAATATTTACTCATCGGCTTTGCTTTCCGCATAGGACGTATTAATTATGCAGTACAGCGTGTTAGAGAGGTTAGACTGTGTCACGTTAAAAGACAAAAGAGCTCAGAGGTTAGTTAGCTAAGATAACAGGGCTAATTACACAGCATTAGTATATAACATAGGCAGTGAGTTAGCGTTTGTTACTATTATTTTAAGTTACTTACAGACCAGCCTTAGTTCTTTATAGGATTACTTTAGTTCTTTATTTATCTATTTTATAGTTTTATCTATTTTTAAGCTTAAGTTATATATTATTTCTTCCTGCTTTTATACTACCTCTATCTGCTGCTTAAGTGTTTCTATTACGATGTTAACCATCGCCTGGATATTAGCGATATAGATTAACGCCGATCAGTCGGAATAACTACGGCCAATTCGCCGTGGATCCACCAGATCCACAGGGATATTACGTAGTGAATTCGCCACATAATCCCACAATAGTTTTCCTTCTTTACGCATAATTTAGAAACAGTATTTACCCTTATTATTTGTCACTTGCCTATTAATACGTATAGTTAACTATATTACTACCCTAGTAAAACTAACACTAATTAGTAGTTAACTTTATAGTAACTACTACTATAAGATACTATAGATTAGTAAGGTAATATAAGAAGAGGTAATTCTTTACTATTAATTATTTATAAAAGCCTAGAGTAGGCTTTACTAAAAAGGCCTTCTATAAATACCCTTATAATAAGATTACGCTATACGCCTACTATAGGTTAATTTACGTTACCTAGTAGTTATATCCCCTTAATATAGTAAGAGTAGTGTAAATTTATATTATTTATATAAGTAAATTAACTTTATTACTATATAAGAAGTCCCCTATCTAACTATAAAAACACCTTATTTTACGCACTAACCTACTATTAATTAGTAATTATTTATAATTTACCTTCCTTTTATTATAAGCCTATAAAGCTTACTAACTTTCTCTTTTTTATATATTTTTCTTATTTTTCTCTAAATTATTTTATATTACTAATATAACAGCCTTTATTACCTATAAGCTTAATATACGCCTTTCTTTTTTTAAGTTTCTATTTAACTATAAGTCTTTATAGTTACTTATACTACTAGTAGTAAATCCTCTAATAGATATATACGCCCTTTAGTAACAGCTAAGGGAAACGCCTATAACTAAAAGGTAGTTAGGCTAACAGAGGGTAATTATAAGTAAGTAACTAAGATAAGTAACTATAATAAGCTAGTAAGTAGCGCCTATAAGGTAGTTAAAACCTAAGAAAAAAGAAGAAATCACCCTGGATCGTGCGGTGAACGGTAGTCGTTTGCTCGACTGACACTCGAGCCCTTTTACTACTATGTGCAGGGCGGGGAGAGGCTGCATATTCAAACGTGCATTGTCTCGAGGTAGGAAAGGGATCAGAGTCGTCGCTTGTAGTATCGGGCCGATAACGGATTTCGGGTGATAGCCATAATCCCTCCCCGGAGCAGGAGACCCGCGCTTGTCCTTCAGGAACTTGATCGAGTTGACGGAGATCAGAGTGCCAGGTACGGGCTGCAGCTCAAAAACT